TTTACTTTGGTTATGTCTGTTGTGCTGACCAATGTAATCCTCACTGCAGTGCTATCCATTAGCTTACTGGCTTTTCTGGCATTCACAAACCTGTCTTACCTGTGTTGTCTTTAGTTTTGATACTCCAAAATGAAAAAGATGCCTGTCCTGAAGTAAAGGCAGAATTTTTTTTGCTTTTTTCCATTTCTATCTGATGTTTAGTGCATTTTAATATGATTTTTTAAGCACAGAAAGCTGCAGAGGCAGAGCATGCAGTAGGTAATAAATGGATCACTGCTGTGTAAACATCTGAAGATTCCCAGTGAGTGAAAATGGACCCGATTTCTTATGACATATGAAGAGCTATGGTCAGGTCCATTTCCACTCACATTTTGCTTTTCTTTGGTTTCAAGCGTACTGGTGGGGGAAAAGCCTCTCCCACACCTGTTATGGTGGTTGTTGTCCGAATGTGGTGAACAGTAATAAAGTGAAGACTGTTGTCCCGTACAGCTAAACGCTGCTTTGGTCTCTCTCCATTGCTGGGTTAAGATTAGGCTCTGGGCAGGAAGAAGCACTGAAGATAAACAGAAATAGAAACCCCTTCAAGTTATTTCTGAAGTGCTTCGGGGAGATTCGATGACAAGACAAATTCAGAGCCCACTGCAGGGTCTGTTAGGGGCCTAGGAGCTCTCAGAATGTCCCCCTCCACACACAGTGTATTTGCCACCTTCTGGTCACCACGGGTAGCAAGGCAATAACCAGGGGTAGCACCTGTGTTAACATTCTCCCTTTTCTTTTTGTTCCTTTGAAGCTGAACGTGGCTCACTTTCTCAGAAGGAGCGTGAAAGGTTCCCGCAAGTCTTTGCCCTGAGCTCTCACAGTAATAGAAAACCTGATTCAATGTCATGGGTCTAAAACATCTTTATTTAGAGCTGTTCAGGGGTTAGGTTGCCTGTTTATTTGCACTTCGTTTTGAAATGCAGAGATGCATGCCACGTGTGTGCTGCATGAGGGACATTGTCAGGAGTGAAACGTGGCGAGGGCAGCCCTGCCCATGGTAGGATGTCCCTTGGCTTTGATCTCCTGCACATCGCTCCCTTTTCCTTCCCTGTGGTGCTCCAAACCAGGCACTTCGTTGACACTGTACCACGGCGCTTAGCGGCACACGTGCGGTAACGCTGTTATTTTCCACCAGCCAGCTGTTCCACTTTATACAGCGCTTAAGTAACAATTTCACAGCCATTACCAGCCTGCAGTAATGACAGGGGCTGAAAGCTAAGCGCTAACTGGTTGTAAGCTGCAAAAACAGGGAGATGCTGGAACAGACACTCTGATAAATGAGAAAGGACGTTGCCTGCATTTTAATTGGTGGAGTTGAAGCCTCTTTTATCACTAGAGTAAACATAGTGTTTAGATGGTCATGGGATAGAATTGGGAATCACTATCCTTCTGCACTTAAGAAATGTATTTCCTTGATTTGAGGTGTGATGTATTGATTCTGGGAGTTCCTTCTATGTTTTTTTTTTCTTTTTCCTTTCCCTTGATTTGTACCCTGTCAGCACTGACGGGTTTTCAGGCACTGAGTCCCAAGGGCTTTGTTTGCCATGATTGATTTGGTGCAAGGGGTGAGCTACTTACAAGTCCTAGTAACTGATGTGCTGCACGGTGAGCAGTGATCCAGAGGTAAATAACAGCTTCTAGAAATACCTGTGAAAGTGTTTAGATGGATAGGCTCCTTTTTTGAAAAAAAAAAAAACAAACCAGCAACCCAAACCCAGCCACAACTGAAATGTTTAAGTCCTTTTTCCCTCCCCTTTTCTGAAGCAGAATCTGTCCCAAAGCGAAGTGATGGTCACAAAACACTTGAGCAACTTCACTTTCTGCTGCCCAGCCACAGTGGTTTAAGCAAACGTCCGATCTGTTGTACTTAGTTGTTAACTGTGAGCAAATATATGAAAAAGCTTTGTCAGATGCCTTTTTGCATACTGCGGTTGGGAAATCTTAACAGGCTGAACTGTGGCTGAACCGAGTGGCTGTCTCACGAGCAATCTCGGGAGCAGCTGAAGGGTCGAAGGCCCCGCTTGCCCTGTGACAGCCAGAAATTCCATAAAGCAGATTTGCAAGAAAGTAATTGAGCCCTGACAGCAGTCATAGTGTTTTCACCTCGGGTATCTTCAGTTTTATCTGTTGACAAATAACACACCTTCAGTTATTATTAACTGAAGGTCAAATATTAACTATAATTATACATTACTTATCAATATATTAATATTTTTATTATATAATATTCAATTATTATTTAAATTAACAATATATTAATAGTTATTCTTAATTATTATTAATCCAGGCCATTCTTTGGTAATTGCAAAGCACTACTGCCATTGTAAATTGGGTGAATAAAATTCTGCAGTTCCCCAACAGCGGCAAACACAGCATCGAGACATGCTAGGGGAAAAAGCGTTTCCTCGGATAATGGCATTGAAGATTTTCTGCTAATTCTAAAGTATATTTAACTGATTCTTCAAAAAGAGTTCCTAACCTCTAATTCTGTAGAAAGCAACAATCTTGTTCTGTTATTGTTTTCAGTAAAATTAGGGGTTTGTGGCTTTTATTAGATGACTAAATTGGATGTTACCAAAAACTCTAAGAAATCCTGATCCATAGACTGCAATTACCCCAAGGAGTGTACACAAAGATCTGCATTTGTTTTGAAACATTAGAAATCAGTGCAGGATGGCAGTTTGTCATGGGATCAAGTGAATGTCAAGAATAGACCAACTCAGCTTGTCTTTCTGGTTTTGTGTCCATTTTTGTCGTTCGCCTCATCACTCTGGCATTTAAAGGAATCCAGACAGAAAGTAAGAGGATGGTATCAGTTGTGTGTCTGTATTTGCACGCTTATTTGACTCTGGTTTTAATGCTTTTTAAAATAAGTGAGAAATTTCCTCAATTTTCTGTGTGCTATTGCGCATGTGCCAGCAAAGTGCGGTGGACTATGCTGTGCTCTAAAGCTGCTTTCTTCTTGATTCCCTACCAGTTTTGTTAATAAAACATTTTAAAACATAGCTGTTGTATAGTCAGTACGATCTGTGTGTTTAAGTGATTCAGCTACTGTCCTGTGCTAGAGCTGAGCACAATGAGCTGGCTCTGTCGAGACAGGAGCCTTCTCAAATACCTAACCTCAGCTGGTGACCCACATCCCAGTGACCACATCAGAGAGCTAGAAGGGTGGCTATGAGTTTCTTAATCATAGCCTGCTTAACTTGGAAAGATCCGAGTTACCCTCATTTCCCTGGAAAGGCACCCAGCAGCTTTCTTTCTTTGAGGTGGAACAAAAAAGGCAGGATGAGATGTTGGTCTGGAGGAATAGCTAAAGACATACACTGAAAAATGTTTCATCCAGATTGTCTGGGCTTTTTCTCTCTGTCTCCCTTTCTCTAAGGTGCCAGGAATGCAGTTTAATTTCCGCTCTTTTTTGACTGTTGGTCTCTTGTCCTGGAGGACGTTTGTGGTCTGGGAGCCATAACTGCACCTGTTTAAAATGTGTTTTGTGAAATTCGTATAGAATACCTTGAGCATGACTTGGCAGCCTTCATGAATTAATTCTTCCAGGTGTGCTAAGGAAATTACAGCCACTGTCGTTGAGTTAGTGGTAGAAAATGAGATATAACCCTTTTTGTCCAATACAGTCGAAGGAATCATTTGGGTTTTTATTCTGGAAACATCTGTGTGGATGTTGTCCTTCAAAGATTTCACAAGTAATTTCATGCGGAGGCAGAGCTGATAGTGCTTGTTTTACTGATATTAGCATCTCTGCATGGCAGCAGCTGTTCATACAAAAATCCACGTACCTTTTTGGTTTTTTTTGCCCAGAATTGAGAACTTGCCATAACAGTGAATGGATTTTATGTATGAGATTTTAAGCAAATATAATTAAACTGTCATTTTCTGACAGCTCGTGTATGAGCCTGCTTGACCACAGTGGACTTTTTGTTTTTGTAAACACGTTCAGAGACCAAAAGTTACCAACACCAGAAACTCCTAATTCAATAAATTGGCCAACGTTATATAATTGTGGGCCAATTCAGTAGTGCCTTAAGATACATATTTACATATTTAGTTAAAGAAAGGGAGAGAAAGAATTACAACACCTGTTAAGAGGAAGTAAGACAGATATTTAAAAAAAATATACACACACATATGTAGGTATAGTTCCTCTTCTCCACTGGTTATTCAAAACCAGAAGTATTGTGCTACCTGTGAACCAAAGAGTACTCCTCAGTAGGAGCCCACCCAGTTGTCATGAGTGTAACTTTTTGTTATACAGCTTTTCCTGTTGTTTAACCTCATACATGGAAACAGATTTCCCAAGAAACCTTTCACTTTTGGAAAAGTAGAAATATTTCTAAGTATTCTGAGGATCAGAGCTAACAGAACGGTTAAACCCAACAGTATGCAAAGAAAATGAAGAAATGTTGTGGAGTCTGAAATATGATAAAAATTGGACAAAGATATGAAATGTCATCTTTGAGTAATCTGGGGAGGGAGGGAGAAGAAAAGGTAGACTTTGCTTGTAACATGAGACCTAGCAATGGTTCTCAGCTTCTCACTCCAGATACAAGCCCAAACAACTTATTTTTGGGAGGGAAATGATACTTTTCTCTCCAATACGATAACTTCTAGTCAAAAGAGAGCCGTAACGTGCTCCGTGGTGCCCACAGTGTGGATTAACAGAAGAGCAGGAGTGAGGAGCATGCTCCAGAACATATCCACTCTGCGATTGAGCTATGACTAAAGCTGTAATTACCATTATTTCAATAAGATTTCCATCTTGATATAATTTTTTCAAAATATGGAATTCTTAATTAATTCTCTAATCTCTTTTCCTTGTAATACTGTCGAACTCTAATGAGCGGTAACATTTTCTGTGGGGCAGTAATGAGAAAATAATGAAGAAATAAGGAGCAGATCGAGCTGACATTTTGTGTCTAATTGGTGAAACATCCTCCTGTTCCTCCTAGGGCAAAGGTGAAGAAAGGTGTGAACATTTTCAGTGTAAGAGCCAGCAGCCCGTACTTATGGGACATCAGAGAGAGCATGGATTATACCGGGAAATATGCACCAGCTGTTATTGTTTGCCAGAGGAAATCTGCTGCCTCTGAAAACAGGTAGGTCACTTCCAGCAGTCTGCCTTTTAATAACTGGTGGTTGTTTTTCCTTTTCAAAGCATTTTGCCATGAATTTGATAAGTTTTACCATAGTGCATGATGAAAATGTTTTTGGAAAACCTGTGCCTGTCTTTACCTTGTAGTGCATTGCTAGTTCTACCACTTGCCCTTTGAACGAAGTGGTATTCAATCCTAATACTCTAGGGAAGTTAAAATTAGCAGGAAATATTGTTTTCATGTAGTATTTAGAAGAACGTGCTTCGTATTTTAGCATTTGGTTGTGACTAGTTTAATCTCTTCAAATTATTTGCAGACAGGCATTCTAGCAGGGGGTAACTATAGGGCTGTTTGTAGTGGGGCTTTTTGGGGTTTTTTTGAGTTGTGTGGGTTTTTTTGTTATTGTGTGGTGTGGTGTTTTGTTTTGTTTTTTTTTTTTGTTTTTTTTTTTTTTTTAAATCCAGTGAATAAAATGTGCTCCTGATCTCAAACCCACATTTTATGTTGGTGAATGAATTTTTCTATTAATTTTTAATCTGCAAAAGGGATCAGATTTTCCATTCCTATTGTGCAACAACTTAGATAGGACACTGACCTGTCTTAAACAGCCTTTGCTTGGTGGGTGGATGTTCCTTTTCTAACCACTACTGATTGCTTTAATGATTGTATTTTTATGTCATTTGCTGCTGCTTGTTCATTGTGTCTGGAACTGTATGTCAAGTACACATTTATAAGGATTTGACTGTGTGTGTTGCATTTGGCATTGCTGTTAGAAAACTTGCCATGTAACATGGAAGTTCTGTGCTGTGATTTATTTCTGAAATTTCCCAAAATCTTATAGGCTTTGGGGATTTATTATGGAGTTTAGAATTTTTAAATAAATACCCTCTGAGCCTAACAACTAGAAAGTTTGTGCCCTTGCATTGTTGGTATATGAAAGAAAGAGGAAGGGAAGAATTTCCCTTCATAATCATGGCATAAATCACTTTCTCCTTGTTATGACTCAGATTCTACTCTATTTCTCTGCTATAGTATCCTGAATTTTCTCATCTAAAACATATATTGTCTCATACCTGACTGCGTTTTACTGGTCAAAGAAGCAACGTGTATATATGCCAAGGTCAGAGCTTCCTACTGTCTAACACAATCTCTCAGACAGATTCTTTAAAATCTCAGTTCAAAGCTATTTGAACACTGTGAATATTTTCATTGACTGAAGTGGGTATTGGGTCAGAATCAAAGATTATTTCAACGATGAGTTTTCCATCACACTTTATCTTTTTGGGTCCATACGGTGCATTTCCCTGATTGCTCTTCCTCATCAGGAAAATATAATGCAACCTCATGGGTGAATTGAAGCTTGGCAACTTATTTCCCTTCACTATTCATCATTCAGTGGCAAGCCTTCAAAATGACCCCTTGTACACAAAAAAATAAATTATTATGTCAGCTTTCATGCAGTGATTGTGGCTTCTGTGTACTTTCACATGCTGAGTATAAGCATTGCTTCATGTTTATTAAAAGGAATGTTAGCTCATATACATATCAGATTTTACCAGAAAGAAAATCCAGTGAAGGGAAGGTATATGTGTAATTCTTATAAGATTCTGGTTTGACTTATTCCATCTGAGTTCCTAGTTGAGTTTTTGTGGTTTTCTCACTTTAGAGAACTTCTTCCTCATTATTTGTAAACAAATGTAAAATATTTGCAATGTATTATTCAGTATGTTGTTTTCCTCATTGAATTTAGTCATGTCTGTTTTGCTGTTCATTTTAAGAAGTAAGATCAAGCATTATATGGGAAAGAGTATGCTCAACATTTTTTGGGAAACAGAAACAAGTTTGGTGTCACTAAATATGCACAAGGGATGACAGCTAAATCCTGATGTCTCTTACCAAATTCTTTGCTTCCATAGTTAATTTGGAAATTTGACACTATTTGCATATTGTTTAATTACTCTTAAAAATCAGAGATCTGATCACATGAATGCAAAGGTGGCAATGTTAATTAACTAAAGATTCAATACTTTTGTGTTTCTGATAGTTTTACATGGATCAGAAAATTGTGTTAATAAAGCTAATTTACTGTGACAGGTGTAATTTCACAGATTAGGGAGGCACTTGTGCAAGTGACAAATTTAACCAGGATCCTGAGCATTTCGTTATTGAAGTTTGAGATATATCAGTCATTTTATTTGGAGAGGTTTTGGCACCGAAAATTTATCGTAACAGGATTAACATATAAATATTATCACAGCCAGCAGGGTGTTTCAGAATGAATATTAACAGCAAATATTATGAGTCTGTATGAGAATAACTAATTAAGCCCATCTGTCAAATATGATTCGAAGTTCTCATTGCCTTGCTTATTATGGGCTTGCGACAGTGTTCCAGATTTATGGTGAAGCAATTATAAAGTTCTCCCCAATTTTTCTGATTTCATTTTCAGGCAATAATAATTTTGTAACACTCTAAATTCTGACCCATTACATTATTAGATGGGCTTACTACTTGTAGCTTCTGTACAGCACTTCTGTTCTTCTCTTAGAAGCGTCTGTCTTCCATCCCTCTATTGTCATGCAGAGGACCCCCCCAAAAAAGTAGAAAATGGTGTGATAGTAATTAACCAGTGGCTCAGAAATGTCACTTTGGAAACACCAATTGAATCAGGGAGATACATCCTAATATGTGCCATACTTTACTTACTTCCTTTGGAAGTTGGATGATCTTCCCATTTCTTACTTCCTCAGGTAATGAGGTGAATAGAATAGAAAGATGAGATTAAAGGAGTACTGCATTTTGGAAATGTTTTTGGGGTTAGTGCTGCTTCTTATTGTACCTGAAATTGAGCATCTCTGCTGTGCTAGTGATGACTGAGAAGAATAGCCAAAAGTGGAAGATCTGGATTCTTGTCTGCTCTTCTCCTGTGCTTCCTGCTGGACTAGAAGCGTGTCAGATGGGATGGGTTTGGAAAATTATTGAGGTGGCTAAAGATGCAGATTTATTGGATTTTCCTCATCTGCAAAATGTGACTGATAGCACTTGTCTGTATCCATAGCTGCTGTGGAGACATTAAGCAAGATGCTCTGATATTATACTAATGGGTGTCATGATCCTCTTAAGATATTTTATTCCTGTTTAGATTTTGGGTACAAATGTTTGTTATTCCAAGGAAGAATACATTCTTGTTCTCTGTGCTTATGGCAGGAATGAGGCCATTGATCCAAGCAAGTGCAAAATAATTTTAGACAAAGCTTGGTCATCCCTGAGTAGAACCTTAGTGTCTGGGTATGACCGTTTACTGCCTTCTCTCCAAATGTGTTTGAACTATATCATGAATAAGCTTTGCTCAGCAATTTCCTTTTCCTGTGTTGGAAATGTTACAAAGATAGCATTTCTTTTGATACTTTTCCATGTGCACTTTTGGGTTACAGTTACCTACGGCATTAAAGGAGGTATTGGCTTAGTCTGCTTGAAACCAGATGCTGGTCCTGCCGTTAGCAGAGAAACTTATTTTCGTTTTGAATTACAAGTGACTGAATCAGTCTGTGATAACATTGACACAGTGAGAGACAATGACAGTATTTTCTGGACTAAATCACTGATTTGTTCCTGTGCATCTCATTATACCATATTTCAATATATAATTTTCTTAACACTTTTATAATACAAAAAATTAACTCGATATTAGATAATAACAGGGGACAGGGAAACATATGGTAGCATTGCCTTTGATTTTCCTACACAATACTTTCTTTTTATTACATTTACACCATTATCCTTAGTGCCTTATATTTCTCGTTTTCAAATCTAGTTATTTAACATTTACTTTTCATGTTGTAACAGCAGTGAGCTATTGCCTCATCTCTTACTTGTTGCATCTGCCAGTAGATTTGATAGACTCTCAAGAGTGCTGTAATCCTAAAATGCTTCTGAAGCAACAAAAGCAACAAATTTGATATAAATAACAGCCTAATAGCCACAATAATTACATTGTCTCTTGTTGGTATTCATCAAAATGCTTCATAAAAATACTTTTTTTTAGATCACCATTACTTTTTTTTTCCTTGCTATTCATGTGCTCACATGACTTCATCAACTAGAGGTATATCATTGCTTGGGAAGAAAATTTTCTACTCAGTGGAATTACAGAAAAGATGCATGATGAGGAAAAAATAATTTCCAGTGTATTTTGTCCTATCACATCATGTGTGAATCACATGAGCTTCAGTTTGTCATGATGAAACAAAAGCAAGAAAAAGACTGTAGAAATCATCCATGCTTTCAGATGGGATATTTTCATGTATGATATTAAAAAAACTGGACAGGCAGAGTGGGCAAAGGGTTGTGTTGTGCTCTATGTTTGGGTGTTTTTATGGCAACTCAAGAGATTATTGGATTATTTTTTTCTTAAAAAGATCAAGTGATATGTGAATACTGAGCAAAAAAGATTTATTACTGGGAGGAGAGAAGAGGTATATCTTTTGTGTGGTTCCAAAGTTACTTTCTGAGAATAATGATTCAGCCCTAAAAAACTGGCTATTCACTCAGCATCAGTGATGCTGATATAATATGTTAATTTGATTCTGAAATACCAGAGTTTAACTCCATTATACTTCCTAGGCATGTGGGTTATGATCAGCTGTAAACATATTTATCCTGGGTAGCTTTAGAGTTTCATACTGTGTACTGTTTGGGTTCTTCTTATACCTTCCTGTGTTATTTAAGACCTCTAAGCTTCTAAGAGTTTGTATGCTGTGATGATGTGAAAGTACGGAACATCTAAGAAGTCATGTTAACGTGCCACTGTTTGAAAGCAATAAGTCACAAACTGCTATTTCTCATTTCTCATTTTAAATCTTAAATGTGCCCTCTGAGAGAGAGAGAACCCTTTGAGATGGTTGAGGCAAAATAAATTTGTATGACCCAAGCTTCAGGGCATCATTCTTGTACGTGCTGACCCACTTGTTTCATTTTTTAAAAAGAAAACCATTTTATGTATC